AGAACAGAAGGCATGATGTTAGAGGTTCACATAGCCTCTACGCAAACTTGGTGCTAGTTGGTGATGGCCAAGTAATTCTTCAAATCATTCAGAAATTCAGACCCCTCAAAATACTTTTACCTCCTCTGCTCTACTTCAATATAGCAATCTGTATGAATTAGAAAAATCTCCATACACGTAACAATAATTATAGATATGCTTTGACTTATTGCGTTAGTATGGACAAATTTGGGTATTCTGGACTTCAATTTATCTATCTGGAAAAAAAAAAAAAAATCACATTATAACAGCCCTTGTTCCTAAATCCTTAAAATGGCTAACCTCAGGTGGAATTTGTGCAGCTGATGTCTATTAAACATACTTTTCTTCTTCGAGGTACTGTAGAAATCACAAGGCCTTATGTAAACAGTGAAGTAGTAGAGATTCATAGATTATACAGATATGGGATATTTAGGGCATTTCTGTATGACTACATAAAATGAATATCACAGTGCCACAAACTGAAATCCCTCCTTCTAAAAGAAAGTCTCATTAATAAGTTCAATGACAACTGACCAAGCACATTAGTGTTAGTTTCATTGACAAGTGAGGACTTCTGGTCTCCTACTATTTCTTGAATATGCACTTATATTCCTATACATTCAATAACCAGACCATTTAAAATAAATGAGGTTTTGTCTCAAAATTATATATACATATATATTAAAAATAGCAAGAAAGCTGGAAACTCTATGAGGACTCACCATTTCACAGAATCAAATGGAATGGGAATAGCTGATTTAGCTTGAAAAGCTAATCCATACAAAACACTTGCACTTCCTTTCTTACTGTTATATCTTAAGAGGACTTCATAAGGTTATCACCATTTGCTCCCCCTGCCAAAGATAGCGTATCTAGTATATGTGCTTTTAAGCTAATTTAAAATAAACTTGGGCATTTGTTTCCACTTGCCCTTGTTTCCATGTCAACAGCACTTAATGAATGCATCATTCCAGGAAATGTCAATAAGTAGCAAAGAAGAATGAACAAGCACTGAAAACTTCACACACAGCATACATCCTTCACAATCATATCGCTTTAATGAAAATAGGTGAGGTCACCTGCAGCTTTAGCAACTCCCATGTAATACATTCTGACCCAGATGATTTTTCACAGTTCAGTAACATCATGTTTGAAGTTTTCACTGCAAACAATACACCCACAGGACTGACCAAGTGTGGGTACAAGAGAAGCAACCAGCAATTACTGTGTTGACTTCTGTTACTTTGATCTCCAGGTCACGACCTTTGCTTTCACGCAATCTTCAAAGTAGAGATTGTAGAATAGGTTATTTTAGAATGTGCACTGTTTTGCAAGCTATTTTTTTCTGTGTGTTTGTTGCTTCCTGTTTAAGGCAAAAGCTTTTTACGTCTTTCCTATCACCGTTAAATTTTAGATATTTGGCTTTTAATTTCAGCAGTAAGGAGCAGTTGCTGAAACTTTCCCTTGCCCTCACCTCCTCATAACCTTTTACAAAATATCATCTCTCAAATGCGGAAAATAATAATAATAATTAAATAATTGAGAAAAAAAAAAAAAAAGAATAATCAATAAGGACTGATAGTGCAATATTTCCTTACGAAAAAGAATCTGTAGCCATTTTTATAATGATGAAAAAAACATGACTTTTTAAAATGAACCATACAAATTTGTTCTAAAAATACCACCGAATGAAACTTTCAATTTTCATTTTCCTCTCCAAGCAAAAGATTCATGAGTAAGTACAGAAAAGTCATCGGCTTGTTCTCCTACAGATTTGGAAGTAAGGAGAAATAATAACAAGGCATTTGAGGGGAAAAATTAAAAAAAAAAAAAAAAAAAAAAAAAAAACACCATAAAAAACACAAACACTTCACAGTTTCTCTTCTATTCTTTTTCAAAAAAATAACTCAAATGTTACCAGGTTTCTTAGAAAAAAAAAAAAATAACCTCTTTGAGAAAAAGTGACAACAAAGGTTTTGGATAAAACCTATTTCTAATGAAAGAATAGGCAAAAGCTTTAGCACTGACCTTCTCATAGAAATGGTACACCCCTAGATTACCTGAGAATCCAGATCTTTACACCTTGACAAAAAACAGTTTTACACATTATACAACTATTTTTAATAAACTTATTGTTTTTAAAAACATGTAATATTCTTTTTTTATCTCTGTTGCTAACATCACAGAAAATTAATAGAGAAAGTTTTTTAAGAAGTTGATTTAGTGCAATTTTTTACGGTTGAGATTTTGGGGGTTTTGCAGATCTTTTCGGTTTGCAGGAATGCAAAGATTAAATAAAGCTTTGATTTCTAGCACCTTTCTCTTTCTGGTTGAGGAATTAAATAGCCTAAACTCTAATTGAACTCAGTAGGAATGAAATTAAAGCTCAATGAAAAATGAAGCTGTGGTACCAATGGCCACTGTGATAATTTGCAAAAAGTTCCTGTTCAGAACAAAACAAAAACAGTCAAAGTTTTCGATAAAGTAAAATGTTTATGTTACATGGGTTCATTGAAATGCACTGTTTTAATGTTTCTGATGTTAGAAATTTTCTCTAAGAAGTCTCTAAAAACTAAAAATCTTATGGAAAAAATATTATTTCAAACCCTTAAAAAAAAATCAAATCTACTTCAAAAGTTTGCTGGTAAGATTTGAAGCAATGCATTTTTTAAAATAGAAATATTTTCAAACCCAGACAGCTTGTTACTGCTAATTCTAGAGATAATGTTTTAAACTCTGATGAAGGAAGAAAAAATTCCGTGTCTTTAAGATGCTTCAGAACATGTATTCAAAACTGAATAGCTAGTACAGTCCTTTTAATCAATTCCACCGTTACTCCTGAATAGTGATAGGTGAATATATTCCAGTAAAGATAAACATATATATATAAGCACACACACACACACACACACACACTATTTTTATTTGGTTGGTTTTGAATGTAATGCTGTCTGGCTAACATTTCATATAACATAAGAAAGTTATGGAAAAGTATCAGGAAGCTTTCATTACAGAAACAGAACCATAAATCATTCAACTAATTAGAAGTCCATTCTTCTTTCTTGAAAGGGCTTTAATTATCTCAAGTTCATATGGAAAAAAAAATAGTGTTTTTTTTTTTTTTTTTTTTTTTAAACTGAGGAGAAAGAACCTGGAAGCAATGTTGCAGTTCCACCAGTGCATAAATACAATCACTTCATGGTTTTGACACAGTGGTTTGCCATGAAGTGACCTAAAACTACCTTGACCTCCCTGAAATCAACATTTTGCATTGAAATGAAACAACAGACATGCTTGTTTTGATGTATGGCTGTGTGACATATTATAAATATTACATCACATAACCACAGAGGATGTCAATCAATAACGAATTTTTTCAGACAGCACTAAATGAACCATGGGTTCTTGCCTCTGAATGGCTCCTTTAACGTACTACTTTTGCTTAAATGATTAATAGGAGACATATTGTCAGAAAACATACTTAAAGTGAAAAACAGTAAACTGTAGAAATATCATTCATTTTTTAAGCAATTCTCCAGTGCAAATGTCACATAAATTTACATAGAGACAGCACTGTTAGACTCCTCTAAGCAGGATAGTAGGCATACCTTCCACTTAAGTGTGAAAGCAATGGGAAAATATTTTATTAAATCTCAGCTGGTCTACTCGTTGAAAATACTACAGCTGTGCTAGATTCAAAAGTTGAATTGTTAGGAGGTGAAAATCTTTAGCCTAACGACAACCACGAAATCCTTCTGAAAAGTCTGGAACAAAGAAAAAAATATATCCACACCCAGAAAAGCTGTATTGCTGTTTCAGTCTACAGCATTTATGAGCAATAAAGAGCTGCATCCAATTCATGCAACTTCCCAGTAAACCTGCTCTTAGTCTCTTCCACTTTGTGCTGTTTTATATTAACTCCCACAGAATAGTTTGGATTATGCAAAGATATTTTCAGAGCTTTATTTTATAACTCTGAACATTGCAAGCGATCTGTTAACAAGAACTAAGCTTGGTCTCTCAGTCTCTGTAAGGTTGTCAGCACACTGACCACCAGTGCTGCTTGGCTCTGACTTGCCTCACAGAGACCCATTTTCAACTGATTTGAAAAATGCAAATACACAGAGACTGAGATCTTGTATCAGATGTGACCAAGGAAAGGGATTTATTTTTTTTAATGATCAATGTCTCACTTGCCTAAAGGTTATAGCTATGAAAAATTGTCACTTCAGCAGACATACCATAAGCTTTGGACCTATATTCAGAGTCATCATCAGTCATGAGTATTTTTATTTTTTTTAAAAATAACCCTTGTAATTTTTAACATTGCAGTTGGACAGCTAGTATTTTATCAGGCTTCCATGTTAATTTCCAGATGACCTTTTGTGTAATCTAGCTCATTAAAATTGCATTATAGAGATAGCTTTCTTCTTCTGATTTGATTTTAAACACTGACTGCTTTCAGTTAAGAGACAATTCAGAAGGAGTCTTGTCTTCTTGTTCTTTAACAGTATCTTGATAACTATAATAGAAGAAATGCATCACCATAATCAAACGTTAGCAGTAGACAATGTAACTGGCTAAAAGTCACTACTCACTATAGTGACTTCTTTTTGTATTTTTAATTGCCACCCTTAGTGTATGTAATTGTTGCCTTGCCTTGACCTTAAAGAGGAGAGGTGTTAGGTAAATGCATATGAGCACCCACATTCAAGAGAGCCTGTGAACACCTGCTCAGTTCAAACGTGCTGTACAGCACTGAAATATTTCTTGAAATAGGGCTCCTGAGAGTGACCACATTGAAATGGGTTTACTGAAATTCACAGGTGCTTCACAGCAGAATATGGCAGAGTGCTTTCAAAATATAGAGAGTAAATGATACTTGCTTGGGACTATGAGTTGGGTTTAGTTCGGTATTTCTTCATTTTTAATAAACAAAACTGACATACCCTATTATATTTACAAATGAAAACACTAACCTGTACCTCTGGTAGTCATCTTCATCCTTTTCTTTGCAGACCAGTTCATTGGGGCAGGCCACATTTCCAAGCAAGCTGAGGTACTGTAGTGAGGGCACAACTTCAGCCAAATGATCCAAAAGGCTTTCTAATTCTGTTATGTGTCAAAGGTTGTGGGTTAAGGATTCAATGACATTAATGAAAAAAGCATTTAGAGTTGCATCACTGCTGATTTAAACATACATTTCAATAAATGACAATCAAATTTAGTATGGCATTCAGGAAAATGTCACATTAATTGTTCCAAGGGCAAACAGGGATACACTTCAGTCAGTTTTTTGGCATGGAATGAAAGAATTTGGCTGTTTTGTCATTCTTTTCTCCTCCTTTCTTTCCTAGGTGGTTCGCTACAAAACATTAAAACTTTGACAAAATGATGGATGCTGTGTGGTAAAATGGCTAGCAATTGCTGGAGCCATGAAACTTTTCCAGCATGGAAACAAACAGTTAGTTTCACAGCACATTCATCACTAATATATTCAGTCCACTGGAAAATGAGGTTAAAAAAAAAAGTCAAACCACAACAACCCACTTTCACTCTCAGAATATAAATGCTTTGAGTACCACGGTAACACATTTGTAATTACTCAATTAGTATATGTGAGTAAATGATTCTCTAAGTGCAACTTGAAGACTTAACTGTTACAAAACATGTATTTTACACATGAAGCTTCGAAGTCCCATTAAGTATTACATTATTCATTAAAGCAGCCTTATATTTTGGTATTATAGGTTTCAACTGAAGTGTATTCCTCAGAACATAAACAATGATGCCACACCTTCAATACATTAAAAACAAACAAAGATTAATCATTACCACTGCAATATTGGTAATCACAGCTTAGGTTTAAGTGTAACCACAATATTCAACTATTTGCACTTTATTGATTAAACAAACAAAACAAGTTATTTTGTTAAAGTGTAATGTTATAGTCTCTGAGAAATTCATACTACACATTTGTTTTCTTCCATTTATACGCAAAGGAAAAGTCATGGTTCTCAGAAAATATGCCATATGTATGCGTGTATATGGTTTTCAATGTTCAAAGCCTGAGTGGCTTAGACAGCAGTAATAACTATTCAAGCCATTAAAGGTTCTGTTTTTTATCCACTCCTGCTGCTACAAACCACAACTGTTGTTTCAAATCTTCAGTTCACCTGTGTTGCTATTATTTATACTTGATTTATGTGTTTCTCTTATCTTTGTTTCTTTTTTTAGCTGAAATGGAATTTACTTTATTTCTTCACCTCAATATCTTAAGGGCAACAGAAGCAATACAGAATGGAAAGCTCAGCTTCATTGTTAAAAATGTCTTCCTTTTGGTGCCTCAAATTTCATTTTATTTCCAAATATAAGAACATGCTGACAATTACTAATTTTATTATATTAAAATAAGTATATCTATACCCATGGTTAATATTTTGTCCCATAAGGTCTGAGGAAATCATACTAAAATATTTTGCATGAGCAAGAAAAATAGGGTTTGGAATTAGTTCTATGAATGGCCACAATATGGAATGTTATACTCTATCAAGCAATCAACTAGGTCCCAACTAGAAAAAATGTCTTGCAGCAACATACAATATAACTCTTCTTTGTTAGCCAGGATGAAGACACTACCAAAATTTTCATCCTTTCACTTCTGGACCTCTAGATCATATATAAACTTTTGAAATTAAGTATTTTCATGGCTTTTTCAGGAAATATGTGGCTGTGATGGGAAGGTCACAAATTCTTTTTCCACACAGGTTCAAATTTCAAGGCTGTCTAAAAATTTCCAAGGACTGTTAGAGAAGTCCTTGAATCTGGCACCCTCCCTCAGCCAGGAGAAACTTTTATTTTCTTGCAGGACTTTAAAATGCACAAAGGTTCCCTGAGATAAATAGTTTATTATTACAAAAGTCAGTTATTTCCATAATGTTAGTCACTCACAGAATTAACTCTTGCAAGGTTTAGATCCCATCTGCCCTATTGAAGGGACACAAGATGTCCACCATCAACAATTTTTTTCTCCTTTTATGGTGTAAAAATATATAACTATTACTCCCTGGTAATTGGTGAAGGTTTATTATGACAGATGTATTCTAACTCTTATTTAACCTCACAGACTTAAGGAAAATACCAAATCATATTTGTATATGTACTATAGAAGAAGAGCATCAACCTAGATTTGCAAACTAGAAGATTAAACATCAAAGTTCCTATTGAAAACAAAAGGGAGATATACCATGCTCACTAAAGCTCTTGGGTAACTAACAGTAGTTGAGAACCTCCATCTCAAACATCTAAATCTCCCCCAAGCTGGAAAGTAGTGTCTAGATTTTAATATTTCACATGCAAACTCTAAGCATGGATTTTTGAAGCAGAAACTCTCCCATAAAAATTCTCTCAAGGAAAGATGACCAGGAAACATACACCGTGCAGTTCTGTGTGAGATTCTCCCAGATGTTTTCTGTGTTATCATTTATGCATTTCCATCTATTGAAATAGATGGATATTCAGCATCCTAGTATTATTTCAATTTCAGCTGCAACAGAAGCATAAACATGAAGAACCCCAAGATCAGACAATCACCTGGAATGTAGAAGGTCACTAATTCACATAGAAGTTGAAGCTTTGCAGACTTGGACAGCCTGAAAATCACAGGAGAATAGTAACACCTGAAAACGCTCCAAAAACGGAATCCCAAAGTATTAAGTATTTCTAAGAAATGCTAGGAAAATACAGAGGAAGATAATCAAAAGCAATTTTGAAGTTTTATTCCCAGTTTCCTTTCCACAGTTACAGCCTAAAGATTGCCATTTTGGTGCACCCAGAGCCAAAGGGCTGCAAAATCCTTCTGTGCTAAGACCAGTTTCAGCTCTGTTCCCTCCAAAAAGGAAAGCCACAATTAAATCCACGCACAGTGCAAAGGAAACATTATTTATTTATTTAAAGCTCAATGACAGTAATTTTTTTCTGAACTGATGTTTTCCTGAAAGCAGTATCACTGGTCACCAGATGAATATGTAACAGTATTGATGAAAATACTTATACGTAGTCCCTATCATTTGAAAATTGTTTTACATTGTTGCTGTTATGACAATTAAAATGCCATGGTGTACCAATCCATCTCCTCATTTAACACTGTTATCATTACCAATCTATTAACACTTTTCTTTCTAGAGGATGTTGACTAAAACAAAAAATTCTAAGTTTATTTTTTAAACACTCCAGACCTTTAACGAATAAGCTAAAACATTAATTCTTAGCAATGATACAACAACAGTCCTCTCCAAAAGCACAACCTGATCTCCATGAACAATTAACAGAAACATACTAGATGTATTTTAAAATTTCATTCTCATTAAAAGATAATGAGTTACTGCACCACTTCCAGTTTTAAATTAGGGAAATATTTACAAGAACTGTGTATCTCTCATATTCAGATTAACTTTTTAAAGCTTCTTAATTATGTTACATGTATGCATACCAACACACTTGTATATTTATAGTAGACTGTTCACAGCATACCTATGCACAAGCACACACAACTGGTTACCATATCCTTTGTTAAGAAAATCAAATGTTACACTACATGTTAAAACAATATCAATGGCATAACTTGGAAAATGCTGTACTATAGTCAGCAGTTCAATTAACCTGCTGAGCAAAATTTATATGCATGTTGGACTTTTCTATTGTCAGTGACCAATCTCATACCTATTATCATAGGCTTTGAGGTTCTCAAGAAGGCAAAAAAACAGGCAACCAAAAGCCCAAGGCAAATGACATATCACCCTTCTCTAAGAACTAACTTGTTTTGTAGCAGTCTTGCTGCTCTAAGTGTTCAGGACTAACGCTGAACATCCCCAGACTCCATAGTGTTTCCTCTCTTACTAATATTTTTGGTTCATAAATTCCTTTTTCAGCTATTATGAACTGCTGGTGAAACCTACACAGAAACACAACATCTGATAACAGTTCCTAAATGAAATTATTCCACATAACTGCATAAAAATGCTATGCTAATGTAACTGTCCAAATAAACTAACCTATATATATTTCATATCTCACTACTCAGGGGGTTTATTTGTTTTTGTTTTGTTTTTAATACAGTTTGAAGTCTGCAAAGGAAACTGGAACTTCTTTCTGCAACTTTTTCCTCTGACAGCAATTCTTTTTACCAGTCACACTCAAATTGGCTTTATGAGAAAAGTAACTGTTCTTTCTCTCTCTCTCTCTCCCTCTCTCTCTCTCTCTCTCAGTGCTTTCCAAGTTGTACTGCCATTTTCTTTCAAAAAAAATTGTATTCATCTTCTCAATTTTTTGGCCATCCTGCTTTCCCAAAACAGTTGAGAATTATTAGCATTATTATTAGCATTCATGACCTTCTGTAATTACAGCTTTTGGAAGTTCTTGGAAGCAACGGAACAAAACAAGGAGCAATCACCTGTACATTCAAAATATTCACAAAGTGTTTGCCTAGAAAATATCAGAAACATCACACAAAATTCTAGACCACCACACAGAAAGACACAAAGCTGTCACTCAAAAGTCTTCTTCAACCAATGATGTCATGTGGATGCTGTAGGCCACATAGCATTAAAACTGCTGGATAGCACTTTTACCAGAGTCATAAATGAGTAAGGTACCTGTATTTATTCACATTTGAAACATGTGCTTCAATTAAATTTATCACAAACATGATGTAGCAATCACAAGCGATTCCACAGGCAAATAGCCTTGAAGCAGAAGTTACCAATTCTCCTCTGAATGCAGTATGAAAAGATCTTTGCCACCTGAACGCTTTTCCATTAGAATGTGCTAGGTCTTCAGGGTTGGATAACCACAGAAATAGCTTGCAATATGCAAGTATACATCTTCCCCTTCTCTGTGTGCAATAGGATGTCACACACAGTCATTTGTATGCCACATTCTGGTCTGAACCCTATCTGATGGGGAGATAAGGCCTTGAGACAGGGCCTTGTTCACTCACTTTAAAACTACCATGCTCAAGAAAAGGTGCAGCACAGGTAGTAATTAATTAAGTCCATATATCTTGTGGTGAGCTTCCTACATGCTGAATAAATACTGTCTACTGGAGTACAATTAGCTTTCTTTGCATAGCTGAAGTTTCCAGTGATTTTAAGTGTCTCTCAGAAAGCCCATGGCTCCCAGGTTGCAGATTTTACGTTTTTAATGTTGTTAGGCATTAAATTGGAGGTATTTGGATAACACCTTCAATACTTTAACTTTTGGTTAGCCCAGAAGTGGTCAGGCAGTTAAAGCTTTGAGTGTCCCTTCCAAATGAGCTATTCTATTCAAAGATGAGGAAAAGGAGATATGCTTCTATTTCTGCAATCAAATTACATTTCTGGTGCTCTAGAGCACTCCATCCTGAAACCATATATCCTTTCTTTCTATGATTTTTTTTTTTTTTGACACTATTCCTTCCACTTGTTGCTCAAGGTTCCAAAGACAACATAGACAATGAAGAATAAAGCAGCAGCTCACCATTTATAAAAATTCTGACAACTTCAGTCAAACTGGTCAAAATGACCACTATAGAAGAGGAGAAGGAACTGCCTGGATTGATGACCACCTCTCCTTTTCACTGATGTTTAGCATTAGGCATTCACATTACTTACTTGTTGCTTCAGGTACCTTTCATTCTAGAAGAAAGGTGGGGTTTAGTGTGGTTAAAAGAAGGAGTAAAAAGGCTCCACATTCAAATAAATTCAAAATATTTTACAGCATTCATTTAGGGTTTTGGTTCATCAGGTACTGTGGCTCTATAACAAGCCACATTCATATTTAACCAAATCTGCATCACTTGGAGAGTTCTCAGAACTACATGCAGGAATAATGCTCTATCTAATATTTCAGTTTAGATCTTTGTTTAGTAGAGATAGGGATCTGTGAACAATAAAAGATATATTGTGTCTTTAGTGTATTCACTCAATCTAAACATCAAGTCCTCAGCACTTAACGAGATTCTAGTTGAAGTCTGGGACTTCTAGGTCTTCAAGCACTTCAGAATAATGTAGGAACAAGCACATTGGCAAAACAGATGACAATCTACAGGTTGGGGTTAGGCATTATGATAAGAACTCCATGAAGACAGACTGTACCACAGGTATGTACTGGTACATTCTTTAGCTGAGGTACTCAATCCATGCTTTTTTCAAAGACTCGAGAACATGTAATCCCTAGATCTGAACCACACTGATAGCTCCCCTTATCATAAATAATGCATATACCATTATTGTGCATTATGCCCAGCTCTGTATTTCCCATTCTGTGGTGTGAAATATTTTGGTTTTCCTCTAAATCATTCAAAAACTAGACTTGGATTCAATGTTTGCATTTTATATCTACAATCAATATCTTTATTCTTTAATGTTAAATGAATGACCAGATTACTGGACTAAGTAAAGAAAGTGAGCTTTTACCTGAGAGAATCTCAGACCTGTTTTGTGTCTTTCCTGTCTCTTTTGAAATGAGGAAATGAACACCAACTAATTTTCAGCAGAGAGGTGATATTTTTCAAAATATATCTGAAAAATTACCAATGCTGCTCCTTTGGATAGCTTTAACAAATATTAAAAAGATTGAAACATCCAAGGAACTTTAAACATCTACACTATAAAGTGTAGATCCCATTGTAAGAACAGCCACTGTCAGCACAGTGAACAGCCATGAAACCCAACCCACTGTTACAACCACTGCTATAAACACCTCAGAATAAACCTATGTGGAGGTTTCCTGTGCAATTCTTAGTACCTAGCGAATACAGTTAAAAGAAGTGAGATTTCACATTGTAAGTTTAGGCAACTGCAGTTGTGAGTCCACCTCCAAACCCAACTTCCTAACAACCACCCACCTTAGTCTGTGCTGCTTTCTGCCATCCAGTGTGCCTGACAGAAAAACTAAGATGACAGGTTTCCCAAAGTAAATCATACTATACACATTGGTGACATGTAAACCAAAAACTGTATAACGTTGGTAACAAGTCTTTATTTATTCCACCTATGTATTGGTCTGCATTTTAAAATATTTTTGAACAGATTTCACACTGTACAAAACTTCAGGTATCACACTAGGAAACTTTTTTACACTGTAATTTTTAAATCAGCTTCTTCCATTTACAGGAGAAAAACTGTGGACTACCTGTAGCTGAAATACAAAACTAGCATTTAAAGACAAAAAATAGTGGAGGATTATAAGTATTTTTGTGATTTAGAGATAAGCTTTCATATTTGTACAGTGTATCCAGACAACACACATATAGCACCATACAACGTGTGAGTCATGTTAAAGGAGTAGAAAGCTCTTATCAGAACTATCTGGATCAAAATAAAACCACAATAAAAGGAGAGAAAGAGCAGAGTACAGTAATATTAAGAGATCCCCAGGAAAGCTCTCGCATGAGAGGAAAAGTTTTCATGTTATTCTAGTTTTCACATGGGTCAATTTGGCTTTTTATTTGTATGTCTCCTTCTGTCTCTCCATATGAATATACTTACATACACATGGTAATATTACACCAATTCTAGTGTTGTTTCCAATCTGTATTCTTCACTCATTTGTGTCCCTTCTGTAATGCTACTGTCATATATTAAGTGATCTTTCCTGTATTTCATTTATTTCTATTAAACGTAGATTTGAACATTAAAAAAAATCTGTAAAGAAATGATTGCTTAAAAAGAAGTGATCCAAGTTCACAAGAGCTCTTTTTCAAATATGCTATCCACACTGAAGAGAGGAATCTGGAAGGCCTCTCTGCTTCTGCAGACTGCTTTATCTTCCCTACAAGAGATCACAGTTCCCTAAGGCTCAAAACATTAATGAAGAACAGTGGTTATCTTCTCTTCGCTGGGCAGTTTGTATACATTAGATGCTTTACAAGCATTTCTGCAACTCCTTAAATTATTGGCAGCACACTATAAAATGCATACATTATTTCTATAACCTGGGTAGCTCAATATTCTCAAAGCTTCAAAATCAATCTTAAAATTATGAAGTTAAAAAATGCTAGAATAGATCAAACCCTGCTTATCATTGTCATTGACTTTGAGAGGTTACCAATTTGACAATGGTATTTTAAGTATGTCTTTGGGACCAACAAAACCTCTTCAAAGAATACTACTGACAGGATTTTTTTTTTCCTCTGATTTTGCTGACTGATTTCTTATTTCATTTACCTGTCTTCCCTTTAGTAACTGCAAAGCTCCTCCTTGATACCCCTCCACCCAAAACAGACTTCCACACACACACCCCACACTCTAGGATCTCAAAGATGAATTCACACTTCATGCTTTGTAGATTGAAATATGCTGCATCAGACATCAATAGTATCAGCAAAAACATTATTGTACGTTCTTCATCAAAGTATGACCAATTCACATTTTACTGTAGCAGTAAATAATAAAACAAAACAGTTACTCAAAACCAACCCACAGAATCCTGGTATTAACCTGAAATCTAGCCAAATACTGAGTACAGTTATGACTTTCATGGCTCAAGAGACACTCTTGGCAAATTTCCAGGGCCCACAAGTATAAAAGTTACTCTGCTGATTTTTGTTTATTCATAAAGTCAAAAATAAATGCAAAAATCATAGAATCTGTAGTTATTATTCTCCTCAGTAGGAGGATTTTGCTTTTTAGTAGGAGGTAAATTGTTCTTTGTTTACGTTGTCTGTAATAAAAGCCTGCAGTTGAACAGCCTTGTCCTCACTCTGCAATTACAAGGAGAGGGCTTTCATGGTCTGTGCTCTAAGTCTCTGCAGGCCTCAGTTGGCCTTTTGGCCACAATTTGATCACCCTTCACTTTTGTAAAATCATATATTACACATCTTCAAATCTCCATAAGGGTCAAAGTATGGGAAAATGATTTAATAATCAAGTCCAAGGCCAGCCCTTGCAGATAATTAGTTTTTACAGACCATTATCTATAAGCCTACAGACTGAGGGCTCCAATTCAGCAGAATATTTCGGCAAATGCTGAAATATTTATTATGAATAAACTTAGGCAGGCACTAACTTCAGACATATGCAGCAGTGCCTAATTGGTTATGAACAGACTTGACCATCCATCTAAACATTTTCATGTATTAAGACCTTGATTTGGACAGCATTTCATTTGAATCTGTACAGAGTTAAAACACCAAGAATACATTGACTCGCTTTTAATTGCTGCTACTGCACAGCAGCTACCCCATTGAACCTATTACCACCTTCATTAACACAGAAAGAAATATTGCTTTTATTTCTTTTTTGTTTGTTTTTAGTTTACTTTATTGTTTTAGGAGCTATTTGAAGTATAAAAACTTAATATCATTTCACTGCACTCTGTATTCCACTAGAGGTCAGCCTGCAACAGAACCCCAAGCAAACACAGGAACTGCAGCACTCTGGTAGCACTGGCATTATTTTCTTTCTCTATTTTATCTATTAAAAAAGATTTCTTCAGAGCCATAACTTAGATCTCTCACTAAAATGGAGCAACAGGAAGATATAATGGTGCATTTCATTTATGAATGACCTATAATAAATTACTATGAAGTATTCCAGGTGCCAAGCAAGAGAATGCTTTGTCTGCACATGAACTATATTTCACATACTTTAATTTGGCTGACACATAAAACTCATTTGACATTTTGCAGGTATTTCTTTGAAAGGATATTTGGTTCTTGTTGAGCGTTAAGGTATGGAGGTGGGGTAACCTGGGTAACAGAAGGTCATTTCCGAGTAGATTGTTGTCCAAGATCAGCTCTTCCAAGTAACTGAATGTTTTCAGTCCTTCTAGTGACCTGCAAACGACAAAGACAACAGGAAAAATGATACTCCACTAAATCAGGGAGGCCATTATGAGCTGAAATAAATATTTTAACCTTCCCTTTCAAGAGTGGGAATAGTTTTGGTTTGGGCCTGTCAGAAGAGTGAATGACAAGCATTAGTGGCAAAGGGAGTGCTGGCACTGCAACACATCCTTCACATGCTGGCAGGATGAAGGATGGGGGTCACTTAGTGAGTAGCCAGGATCCAAAACAAAAGGCTTCAGATATGGGGCCTGCAGGATGAATTTGTCAATGTCTTGTGCCTTCAGGCACCCAGCCTCGCCTGACCCTAACCTCCATTCCCAAGATAAATAACTCTGTCACAGTTCACCTTCATTCCCTGGACACAAATTTAAGTTGTCATCCATCATTTCTGCCAAGAAATATCATACCCCGCTAACAATAATAAATACAACTTCAAGTATCATTTCTTAGCAGTTACCCTACATGCAATAATAGGAAATGGAAAATGTTTTTATTTTTTTTCTTTTTATTAACCACTTAATTTGCTTCTCCATGAGTCTCTGCAAACAAAATAAAATGTCCTCTACAAAATAAAATGCAGAATTACTGCAGACAGAAAAGACATTTACTTCCTTTTTGGAACTTTCTGTCCCACTGTCAAGCCACAGGTCAGACTGCAGAGAGCAGCTTTAAAAAGGAGCATTTCACATCCATGGAACATGGATGATAGGTTGAAAATATACAGCATTCTAGAGGTATTTGTTCCCCTGCGAGTAAAGTATAGGGGGAAAAAAAGACCACCACCACTTCTGGTACCTATTCCAAACTTGATTTTAATGGTTGCACATTCCAGTAGGGGGAAAAAAATATAATAAAGTAAGGCTCGTGGTATATGGAGTATACACACAGACACACATTCACAGCTTATTCACCTACCAGACACCTAAAGATATGCTGAGACTGCATGACTTGACAGCTGATCTACTATGCCTACCAGTGGGAAGATCATCACTGTATCTCTTGAATGTTTTATAATATGTGATGAATAAGGGAGATATGGTCTATACTATTTATTCACTTTCCAATGACATTTATGCTGAAGGGATTTCCCTACCCTTCCCCAGTTTTTGGCAAGGATCAAAATACAGTTTAGGTCCCCATTAAAGAGTTCTACAGGCACTACAACTGGAGAAAACACAAGTATTATTAGAAAGTATACGGATTTCAAATTAGACAATTTAACATTCATCTGTCCAACAAAAACAAATTACAGCTCTTGTAGATGCAACTTACTGACCACTTATAAATCGCAGTTAGAGGGTTCAAACGTTTTTCTCCAGAAAATTAAGTCTGTGACCTTTGAACAGAGTACTGTACATTAAACTTTTAAGTAACACTCAGCAAAAAAACAGAAACAGTATATTCCAAATCCAAGGACTCCTAAATGCTTCAAGCCCTGTTGACTTGGCATCCGGGAAGGGAGATGGAACTACTAATAATGCCAGGTGGATACCGGGCAGCCAGACCTGAAGAAAATTTGCCAAGCCTACACCCTACGGCATATCTATATTGTTACCACATTCTGAGACTACCATTTCTGAAACTGCAGGAACAAAAGTCTGCATTCTAAATGTACTGAAACGACCACCACAGTAATAGTCACGCTTTTTGCACTTGCCTTTACACAACCTACTTTGGAAAAGCTTGATTCAGCCTGCATGATCTGTACAGTGCTGCGCAGCATGCTGTATTAAACTAGCCATTTCAGCAAAGGGGTCGTAACAGACTTGGCTTTGCCAAAGTCAAGATAAGGAGATCAGCAAACATTTCAGACAGTGCTTTCCCCCCAAGTACCTTTAAAAGGCAAAATAATCCAGAGGAAGTAGCAGTGAGTTTATCAAGCTGTTATGAGTTTTCATTTCAGTTTATTTGACAAACCTAGTTTAGCAAATTCCCCTTAAATACTCTTTATTATATAAATAGTGGATTATTTCCAAACCTCACATTTTAATGTAAGACTCTGACTTGCCAAAGGAGTTCAGAGAAGGCCACCTCCTTGTCAACACCACAGAGCCTTATGGGATGTTAATAGGTCCTTTGTGAAAAAACATTGTTTGGGCTCTGGTCAGTGTCAACATCAAAATACACATTGTTCCTGAGTTATGTTATGCAAATATAATACTCTTATCATGAGAATCAGCAAATGGTTGGCAACTGGCAAGGAGAAGAAAGCACACATCCAAAACTGCTGCAGGGGAGGCATAAAACAAAATGACAAGCCATGAAGTGGGACAAAAGGCCTTGAAACACTAGAGGGAGTTGCCTATTGAAACAGCCTTTCTTTCACAAGCCTAGCCTGAATACACGGGTACTAGTTTCATAGATAGGCAGAGAAAATTGTGCGCAAATCTCCTTACACCTGTCTGGTTTTGATAATTTTTGCCATGTAATGTTATTAGCTGCTCAGTTAAAAAGGAGCTGTGTTACACAGGGGGTTGCTTATTAATTGTTGTTTTCATGTCATCAGAGCAGTGTGCATTTGGTGATTTAATCAGCTAAATTCAGAGCCCAGGGAGATGGGAGGGGTTGCCACACTACAGAGAGGGTGTAGACATTAACATAAATTTACATCCATATGTTATTTCGGTATTCATTGAATTCTGCTTTTTTCACCTTTAACAGATGAAAAAAACTAGCACCAATGTAAAATTGGAAAGACAGCTGGTAAAGAAAGAACGAAAAATGTGTTCATCATCATTCAGTGACACTGCCTACAAAATCCAAGGCAACAACATCTATAATCATAATATATAAGGAAATACTATCCAGCAATTGTACTCTGAAGTTGAAAAGCGTGCATAGAATCCATGGAATAGGTTTTAGGTGACTTGCTGAAGTTTGCACTGTAACTTGCCATGTGCCTCACTTTCCCATCTGCATTACCTACCTAAGAAAGGATTGCTATTGTAAATTAATATGGAAAGCATTTTGAGAAGCTGAGGTAGGAATCAGTACAAAATACCAGCATTTTTATCGAGGGTAAGATATTTATATTAGCGCACTCCAAGTATTGTCATGAATCCATTACAAAATAGGAGAAGAGAGAATACACATACATACAGCACAGTAAAAAACACGCTAACACCATAAAGGGACAAGTATAAAAAGAGGGAAATCCCAAGGAAGAGAAACAGACTCAAATTAATCTGGCCTGTTTTCTCCTAGTTCACAGCAGAAAAATTGTCTCAAAACAAACACAATCTTACCACTACAACAGAACCCGCACTGAAAGTTTAAGAAAGCTAATAAACATCACTAAGGTGTATTGCAGGTTGCTTTTCCCTGCTCTAATGACATGAAGTGCACATTATCTCACCCACAGGTACCATCTCAGTTACCTCATTGCAGGGCTCACACTCTGCTCCCAGAGGAGAGCAAGTGCTGCCAAGAGATTTCCATTGCAATTTCCCAAGTCACATCAAACCGACAAAACATCACAACGTATTCAGCATCGTCTCATTCAAATAGAAAAAACTTTAAGTTTCCACTGTAATTAACCCTATCCTCGTTAAGATAATTATGATCAAGCTCCCTGTCACAGCTAATATCACAGCATCATTGCCTATGGCTCACGCTTTGCCCTCATTAGCTTACAAAAACATTACACTAAACAGGAAACTGACTCCCTCTGCAAAAGGACTTAAGATGTTCTGTAAGCAGAGAGTAAATAATCCTTTAGAATACAATGGTCTCAGAAATGTCATTTTATCCACGTCCTTCAGCTAATCAGTCTGATTTCTTCCAGCTTTCTTTTCCGTAATTCATTCATGATTTGTAACAAAGTTTTAATCATAAAGGAATGTCATGGCAGAGATTTTTCCCTCTATGTGTATGCATGGCAATTGTCAGCTACACTATTTCATACAGTCCCTCTGGCCTGATGGGGATTTAGTTACAATGAAACTAAAGAGCAGCTCTTCATTTTGGTAATATTTGACAATGAAAACATGAGAGTTTATAAATGAAAAAAAGCAGAAGCCTCTCAAGCAATGGACAAACCTTGGTACTATGTAGCTGTCCCTGTCCAGATCTGTTCAGATGTATATTCTTAAAAGGTGTTTCTCACATCCTACCCCACCCCTCTGTTAATAAGACAGCTGACTCAAGTCTAATGACTTTTTCCTCCTGTTTAACAGGAAAAGAGAGAGCAGTTAACAATATGTAAATGAGAGTGTTTGGCTTTTGCCTTTAAATTGATTTGTACTCTGTTGACAAGAGATAGCCATTACCAGAAGTTAAAGACAGAACTGTTACAAAACAGGAGCTTTTTAAAATGTCTTTTTTCTTGCCTTTTATGTTTTAACAGATTACAGGAGAGCAGAATCAACATGAGAACCCTAGCACAAGATAATTTAAAGAACATAAATATAATTTCAATTTATTTAGCACCTGCCAGCCAAGGCAGACAATAAATATATATATATATTTATTATTATTATTATTATTATTATTTTACATTAATGAATTACTCTTCAAAAACCTGCTGAGCTTAGAACTCCATTTTGTAGTAAAGCAGAGAGATGAAGCAACTAAAAAAAGGTGACCTCCAGCAATTTTCTAAGAGACGAGAAATAAACCCCAGAGCTCCTGACTTCTAGTCCTTTGACTTAACCTCACTGAAGCAAAACAGGGAGTAATAAATAAATTATATGTATATAATGCATACATATATAAACATAAGATAGACACATAAATTTAGATTTTTTTGTATTCCCTGGGAATCCAGAACAATTTCTGTTTTACTTTCCTGTTCAATTTTAATTTCAATTTAATCAGAAATATAGCATACAAACAAAGGAAAAAATAAACGAGCTGTATCCAACTGTTTTTATAATGGAAGGGGTTTGTTGAATCTTCTGTGCAAATTAACTTGGACTGAAGCCTCCGTCAAGTTCTACTCTCAAACTTGTTTTGGGTGTTCTGTTCTAGACACACTTCTCACCTGTAAG